TGATGTAAAACATTATCCATTTACTTTTATCTAAAGGGGGAAAAAAATGTTGACAATGCAAAAGTTTGGGTGCCTGTAGCCAACTAGCAACAGGCGGGGGAGGGGTTGCTCACACTACATTATGCTCCATTCAGGCAGAGAAAACACTCAGCTTCCTTCCCTGCTCATTATAGGATGTTAAAGAGCCATAGCCACTAACTAACCAATGGCTATTCCAGGGTTTACAGGCGGTATGGGAACACAGAGTAAAGGCAGGTCAGTTTAGAAATATCATTCAGTCATTAGAATGTAAAGTGAAATATAATTTCATGAAGATTTATTATGTTAAATATCGTTTTATAAAGAGATTATCTGTATAAAAACAGGAAATAAATGTATTTCCTTTTAGGTTATACTTTGGTTAGAGGTTTAGCTGCAGTTAGAAGGAAAGAGATTTCCCCCAACTTAAAAGCATATGTGTATATATATATATATATATATATATATTTATATATATTTTTTTTTTTTTTTACAGCTGCAGAACCCAGAATAACCCTCCACCTTTCCCTCGGAGGATTATTGTCAGCAGCCCTGAAAACTCCCTGGATAATGTAGCGGTGAATGGGCCCCTTTCATCGGTGCTCGGCCATGAAAGTGGACCGGAGTGACTCCAATTGAAGGCTATTACAGCAAAGAAAATCAATCGGATAAATGTACAGAGCGTGGTGGAGTTTTCTGTGTGTGCGGCACTGGAGGGGTGGGAGACATTTTCAGGATGATATACGCCGACCTCCAGCTGCATGCATCAGGAACAGAGGCCAGGAGGAGCCTGGATGCACGTCGGCATGACGATGTGCAGTGACATTCAAGAAGCTCCCAGGTGTGTGCATGCAGCCGCTCACTCTGACTCGGCGGCGGGCCTCGGCATTCTGACACATATGTGCATTCCTGAGGGTGCAGCCCAGCTTCCCTCCAGGATGAGACTCTATAACCCAATCGGCAGCAAGCATCCCCTCATCTAACCGCGTGTAAACCCATTTACCTGAGAGCGCACAGTCAGGGTTTCTGCAAAGCGTGGGTCGACACCCACAGGGCTTTAGAGTTGATTAAAACGAAAAAAGGCATCAGTTTGATTAATTCTTAAACTGGTTACTAAATCATAACGGGAGCAGAATCTCTCATTTATTAGTTGAACTTTGTTGCCTAAGTAAATTTGCAAACTGAGCACAGATCTTAATCTGCTCGGAAAAAGAAAAAGTGTTTCATGCAAAAGTTGAAACCTCAGTGGAGCTCAGAAGGGGAACAGAAAGCAAACTTTAAGCTCCAGAGGATCTGTGCTTCAGAGAATATTAAAATAGATTTTTTTTTTTTTGTCAGAGCACAAAATCAAATCTAGCTTTCATGCAGCAAATGAAACGACTAACAGGAAGTGATATTGATCAGAGCAAATCATCTGTAAAACACACCACAGTGGAACAAAGACTCGGATTTCCCTAGGCTACCGCCACCAGCTGGATCGATCAGCTGATTGGAAGATGATCTGGAGAAGAGGTTTGATCCGTTGGGAGACGGAGCGATGCACGGAGCAGAGGTGGGTTGTCCAGAAACGCCTGGAATGTCAGGTAATGGATGACACGTCTCTCCCGAGGCGTCCGGAGGGACGGAGAGTGAGACAGGGTGACGAATGGAAAGACAAGTGCGTGCTTGTGAAGTTTTGTTCCAGCGCTTTTCCACTTTACGAGTCAGTCTGTGAGGTTCTGGAGTTCACTCTGAGTTCAAGAAAAATGTAGAGCTGGAAAACTCCTCATTCGTCCCTGTAGCTTCTATCCCCCCCGACGCTCTCTGACAGGATGGACTGAAATATGTCTGCCGGCTCGCTCTCAAATGGGCTGCCCTTTTGCCTTTAACCTCAGCAGCAGTTACACACACGCCCTCTAAGAACAACGCCGACAAGGGTTGTTACCACATGCCTCCACTTCATCCAAGCTCTCTGCGTGCCAACCAAAGCAAATCAAACTGATGTCACTCCCAAAGGACTCAACCTGACTGTCAAGCTCAACCCTGTGAACCTGAGATAAAGCCGCCCCGCTGCATTAAAACATACCGAACATTTACAGCTGTTAACCCAGGGGAGGGAGGAGGGGGTTCATTAATAACCACCTTGACAAAACCGAGGCTTCCAAAATTAGAGGTAATTCACCGTCCCCTGGGGGCCACATAGAAACGATACTACCATCCTCTGTAAATTAAAGCTGTAATTAACCCCTTATGACTGATTTATTAGCACCAAATCACTTTATAATTCAATCAGAAGGTGTTGCGCACCGCAGCTATACATAAACTACACAGAAGGAAGCATGTAAGTGCAGGAGGATAAGGTCCCCCTAAAGTTAAGAGTAGATTCAAAGCTGAGAGCTCCCACGGTCGACTTTCACTTAATTTGCACTAAATACCCGGTGAAAATCGGACATGTTGGTGCATATCCTTCTAAAGGCTGCTGTGCTCCCAGTTAGCAAGGTAAGAAAGTGGATTTCTGTCTGGGGGAAAAAAAGGGAAAGGAGGGAGGGAGACGAGTGGATGTCCAGGGTTCAGACTGGTGGAGGTGGGAGTTAAATCGTTCATGCTGAGAGACCATTGATCTACAAGTGGAACATCAGGTCTGCAGAATCACTTATACAAAACAACCTATGAAGGGGAATTAGGGGAAAAATATGACTGCTGCTCTAAAATTATGTATTTTAAGTTTATTCTAAGTTTTCTTCTAACCTTTATTGTTTATTAGCTTAATTTTATAAACCATTTCATCAGATTAAACAGTTTTAAACCCTCTAGAATACATTCTTGCATGAAGTGACGAGATCATTGAAAGCAATTCTTATCCAACTTCCCCTTTTTTCAGCAAGTTCTCTTCAACAGTTAAAGGGATAGTTCGGGATTTTTGACATGAATCTGTATGGCATCCCCATCACCAGTGTCATGCAATCACACTGACTTACCCCTGGCAGCGTCCTGTGAGCAGAGTTCTCGTCCAGTTTTGGTCAAGCCGAAAGTAGTCCGGCAGGTTTGCTAGACCCAGCGAAATAAATAGTTTCTCTTCCCAAAACATTATGTGTTCAAAAGAGTGATATTTTTGCATCCCAAAAACATTGTAGTGGAAAAAGTCACACGTCGTTATCAATTGGTCCTATTTTCTCTCTGTTCGTATCAGTGCGCGCCGTCATTCTGACAGCGAGCTCAACAACAGCCAGATGCATGTCTCCCTCCGCCCAGCTAGGAGCTAGGCGGAGGGAGACATGCATCTGGCTGTTGTCAGGTTAGTAGGCCCTAGCTGTCTGAATGACGGCGCGCACTGATACGAACAGAGAGAAAATAGGACCAATTGATAACGATGTGTGACTTTTTCCACTACAATGTTTTTGGGATGCAAAAATATCACTCTTTTGAACACATAATGTTTTGGGAAGAGAAACTATTTATTTCGCTGGGTCTAGCAAACCTGCCGGACTACTTTCGGCTTGACCAAAACTGGACGAGAACTCTGCTCACAGGACGCTGCCAGGGGTAAGTCAGTGTGATTGCATGACACTGGTGATGGGGATGCCATACAGATTCATGTCAAAAATCCCGAACTATCCCTTTAACCCCACCAATAATCAGATACTGGATTCATTTTAAAATTCATACATTTAAAATGATACATGCCCTGTTTTCCATCGCCTACTGAACAGTTTCTGGTACTTAAATACAAGCGGATACCAGAATATTTGCTTTTCTCACTACAGAAAAGAGCAACACTCTAAAACACTGAGTGTCACTTAAGTTTAAAAGTATCTTCTTTGGTAACTTTAGGCCTGTTTAGATTACTGAGACATTTTTAAAAGCAAACTTGAGATGTTTGCTTGCTTTACTGCTGATTAGTTAACTGTATCATTAGCTTTATTTTAAAGATACAAAGCTTGACTTTGCATCCACTTTAGGTAATGATCATGCATTTAAAACTCTTAGGAGGATGAATGATGCTGAATAAACTTCCTCTAAAATGCTTTTTATTTAGTCCTTCAAACCAGCACCATTTCTATAGAATTTACATTTCTGAATTTGTCTTATAATCTGAATTAATTACAAGTATCAACATTTGAAATCCGTTTATGTTGTAAGGATTTCACATACCGACAGAACTTTGATGTTATTTAATGATTCTCCTGTTTATTGATGTTGTGTTTAGAGATGCTTCTTTCTACATGTCCTAACATGTCTGTGTTTCAACTGAGCTGGACGAAGGCAGGAGAGAGCAAGACTTTCAAGAGATAACAGCAAGGTTGAGGGGATCCTGGCTCTGCGTTTATTCTCTCAAACTTTTGTGTGGGGGAGTGGTGGCCTACTGGAGAGCAGAACGTTTATGTATCCTGCTCAAATCATACCCTCACCCTGAGTCCCTGAGCAAGACCTCAACCCCACAACAGTTTGGATGGAAGGAGGGATTGTAAAGGAATATTTCCTCACCTATTTCCTTAACCAGTGTTTGTTATGAAACTTGGTTGATTTTAAAATATCTACATGATATTAGTTACAGTGTCAAATCCATATTCTGCAGGAGCAAATGTCCATTTGATTAATACCAGGCATGCTTCCCATGACATATGACACTTAACTCTCCTCTGTTGGATCATTTAGATGGGATTTCTATTTCTAATATAAACAAATAAAACTACATAACTAGAAATAGATTCATTAGTCCTCAAGGAAACCAAAGATTGGGGAATATTTCACACATTTTCTGATTAGTATGCATCTATAAATGGATAAAGCTTCATATGGGGAAAAAAAATCAAATCCAGTATAATAAAAAATAAAATAAAATGCAGCCTTTTCTACTCAAATGCATCACTTTACATTTCATTGCACTCAAAATAAGAGAGAAGTGAGAATTTTGTTGGTTTTGGATGCGGGTAAGCCGCACTTTTACGCATCGTGCGTAAAAGTTTTGAGAAGCGCTTCAACAGCCCTGAAATCCAACTTACCTGTCATATTCTGCGTTGTCCTTGTCGCACCGCGCGTCCTTGTGCTTCTGCCAGTCCTTCCCGTGCTTGCAGGTGGTGAGCAGCACCACGTCCTCCCCGTTGTGGACGTGGTATAAGGCATTCCGAGTGTCCGAGCCGATCCCGGTCAGGTAGCGCTTCCCCTTAAACACCAGCATGTACTTTCTGAAAGGCGGGATAGAGTTGTACTTCAGGAAGCCCCTCTCTCCTCCAGTCCGAGGGTGCTCTTTGGAGAAGAGCGGGATGGACACGTCAAAGTTGGGCCTGAAGTTATCCGAGCCGATGCTGGCTTTGGCCAGCATGGCCTGGCCGATGTCAAAGCCCAGATCCTCCGTGTAGTCCGGCCAGGTGCCGGAGTACAGGTTGAATATCAGATGGTTCCTGCCGTCGTTCCACAAAGGCAGGCTCTGGATCTTTGTCTTTAGGTTGTGGACATATTGCGGGGACAGCTGGTCCCGATCCAGAGTGTCCAAACTCAGGACGAACAGACACGCCTGGGCCGGGTCTGAGGTGTAGAACCTGGAGTCCTCGATGGTGGACAGGATGTTCTGGTAGCTCTCAGAGATCTTCTCCCCCTTCTGCTGGGGGTAAACATAAACTTTGAATCCGTTCTTCTCACACAGAGAGAAGTCAAAGCAGGAATCCATGCGGCACCTCCTGCCTCTGTAAACGCTCCTGTTCACCTCCCGTTTCTGCTTCGGAGATATGTGCAGGTTGTAATCCTCGGTGTCCGTCTGATCCCACGGTAGGAAGCTGTGTAAAGGGTCCGAGTAGTGGGGCCACGGCTGCTCGGGTCTGTGCCCGTTCCTGCTGCGGTCCTGCCGGCTCCTCCTGGCCGCTGGAAGCTCAACGCCTCCGAGGTAGAAGAGCAGCGCCAGGCAGGCTCCGGCGGACAGCAGGATCAGGTAGCGTTTTTTGGCCTGCATGTGTCCCGGGAACAGAGGCGACTTGCTCAGGAATAACAAAGCTAAAGTGGCCCCAAGTTAGGCTCTCACCAGCCCCGGCTGCATCGCTCCATCCCCAACCCCCCGTCTGTGTGTAGTGCTCCGAGATCCGGGGATTGATCCAGTGCATGTGGGCGATTTTAAACCGCTTTTGTGGAGTTTTTACCACATCCAGCAACGCACCTACAAAGACCTGCCCGGAGCCTCTGAGCCGCGGCTCCTTCCCCTCATCCAGGCTGGATTCAGAGGCTGGAGCTCCACGGGGGGAAACAGCCGCTGGGGTCCCTGAGGCTCTCCCAGACGTGGAGGTAAAGCCCGGGCTGGATGTGATCGCCTCTCCACCTGGATGCAGTCCCTCTATCGCTCCATGTTTCCCGGTTAGGAAGAATCAAAACACCGGGAGGCGTTTCAGCGATCCAACTGTAACCTGACAAATCCCTGCATTTCTCTGCTTATTTCTTACCTCCGCTCATTCCCTCACAAATAAACATAAAAACCTCATCGGAGGAGAGGAGCGAAGTTATCCAGCCGAGGAGAGGGAGGCGAGCAGCAGCCTCAAAGTGGAGGAATAGATGGGGGGTGGTCGGCGGTATTCCTCGGTCCCAGTGTCCAATTACCGAGTGCTCAGTTGTTCCGATTGTTGGTCGCTAACATTCCAATCCCGACACGACGCCAGCTGACGTTACGTCCCACCGAGGGGAAGCGGCGTCGCTGATTGGTCGTTGTGTGGAAACGGAAAGGGGCGTGGCTTAGAGGAAAGCACCGATTCATAACGGTGTAGATTACCTGATTAAAACTTTATAATTAAGGTTGAGAAAGAAACCAAACACCTGTTTAAAATAATACTAAAAATAATGGGTCATATGCTTAGTTTACACTTTTAATGAGATAATATTATCTCGAACTTTCTTTTCTGCTTTTCTAATATTTTTATGTGTAATGTCTCTAGTACCAGACTTCTGCTTTTCATCTTTCATATTCATAGTTGCCTTGTGTGAACAGAATCTCTCGTTTCCTGAAGAGGGAAACGAGACATGTTTTGTAATTCATTCAATTTTTGTCAAATTAAAACCACAATGTTGTTTCTCTAACAGATCACACTCTGTGTATCATTATAACAGTGGGGGGAAAAAATCAGATGTTCTTATAAAAAATTAAGTGTTATATACATATGCATGACATGCAATCAGGCACACCCATCCTCAATGTTTTGGATAAATGCATAACAAAATAAAACTAATGTCTTTTTATTTAACGTTGAAAGTGATTAATCAGGCTACACTCTTCAGTAGAATATTCCCACTCTCACCACTATGCCTCTTTAATGCATTTGATTCATACTTTACAATATTAGCTAATTTGACTCCCCTATAATCAAATTCAAACAATATGATTACATGTTTTTTAGATTTTATATATATATATATATATATATATATATATATATATATATATATATATATATATATATATATATATATATATCAGTATGTGTAATCCATCCCTTTCTCCATGAAAATGTTTAATCTGCCAAGAAAAGTCTCTGAAAGTCAAAGTTTTTAATTAATAGGAAGAACCCCTGAGAAAGGGCTGGCAGAGGATGTGCCATCATTCAGTTAATCTATACAGTATGCCAGGTTTTAAGCTAACAGCCCTCTGGAATCCACCTTGCTAGTGGTAAAATACACATTCTGCCAATCAGGCTCTTACCTGTCCACTTGATAGGCTCAGTTACAGAAGAACAAAACATGGCTTTGTGTGTTGCTCATGATAAAGGGTAAAGAGATCCCATTTAGAACTGGTTGTTTTGCCAAGTTGTGTGATACCTGTAGATGAATCACTGCATGATTCACTCTGAGTTTTTTTCTTCTTTTTTCTAAACAAGGGTTTGCCCAAAAATAATCTTCTAGTCGGTAACTCTCTTTGTGTCTTTACTTTCATGAAACTGAGAAAGGCATTACATCTTTAGCTAGTTTGAACAGACTTTTTGGTAAAGTGTTCTAAGTGGATATATGTTATAAAGAGAATTAATTTAATTTAATCCAATTAGATCATATGATTACTTAATGTTAAAGTGAAGGAGGGTTAAAGATGAGATTTTTTAAACTGGAGCTGTTCTAACATGACATGAATGCTCTTTGATTGTGGCTGCTCTGTGGGAATCTCTGAAGACGCTGAGACTACAGCTAAATATAACCTTGAAATAGATCTCATCTTTGAAGAAAATCTGGAGGATCAATTTAAGTAGCTTATCAAACAAAACGTAAGTGATTCTACAATACTGCGGAACTGAACAGAAAATGAAAAAGCAGCCAAAGCTTGAAAAGATTACAACAAAGAGAGGCTGCTTGAAAGGGAATTTTAGGATGAGGCTCAAGATTTAGTTCTGTAGCCAAAGAGTTCACAGCATAAATGTTAGCTAATGTTCAGCCACCAAACAAGGACTTTTGATTGATTCTGACTCATCCCAGCTTTGGCCATGATGGGGTTTTTTCAGAAACTATTTCATATGCCTAACCAACTGTGTAACATTAATCTATGTTTGATAAATCCTTACAAGTCTTAAGGCCACCATGGGCAGATGCCTCACTGCAGTGGGCAACAACTGAAAGGGACACCCTGAAGAAGTCACAAGCCCATCACAAGGCAACACAAAAAAAGAAATAGACAGCCATAGAGGTACATATTAAAGCATTGGAGTGTTAGGAAAATGTTCACATTTTTGTCACTCATTTCAAAAAGTGAATGCATGTTCAGATTCACTACAGCTAGAGTGAAATATTTTGAGTGGATGACTACGACTAAGGTTTGTTCACATCAAAGGCTGCAACATAGTGATGTTATTCTGATGTAAGGAAATGATCAGTCTGTGTGGATAAGGACGCATTTGGAAGAATGCAAAATGGCTCAAATTGGTCAATTAGAGCAAAACAAAACGGCAAGTAAGCTTGTTGGACGTACAGATAGAGCAAAGTGAAAATTTGTTGTCAGTTTTCATCACATTACCAAACAGGAACTGTTTGTGATGTAGTGAGAGCAGCAGAGACCAACAGGCTCATCTAACAAAAAAAGAGAATATATTCTGAGAGCAGCAGTTTGTGTCTATGTAAGAAGCCTTTTTTGGTGTCAAAGGTCAAAATGGTTAACAAGGTATGTGGAATAGCTTCCCACTAGAAGCAGATGGCCTAGAGTACCAGAACACCCCAACAGGGCTGCTGTGACATGTTTGATAGAAAATAACAGGGACTATATTGTTGCCGTACGTTATAAGCAGAAATGCCCTGAAATCAGTCTTCAAATCACTCCAATCATACCCTGGTTCAATGAGTCTCAATTTCAGAGATTATTTTCAGTATGTGGTTAAAAAATTAAGAAAATAAAATTTAGGGTGAATCTGGAATCCTACCCTTAATACACCCAAATAGCAACGGAAACCCCACGAGACAGACTTTCTGCTTCCTCCGTTGTTCTTCTCAATCAGCTCAATACTGAAATGAGAGAAATATTTTAGAAGAAACATAATGGAGTTTTTTTAGCCTGGTAGAAAACACAAAGCCAACAAAACTGATGATGTGAATTTTCTTATCTATACGAATCCCTTGATCAAGCTAGCCATGTCAATTTCAAATCAATTCATAGCAGTTTATTTCTATAGCGCCAATTCACAACACGTCATCTCAAGGCCCTTTACAGTTCAACCAGATGATACAGTCAATTGATTCGAATGAGTTGATTTTATCGACTCATTCACTCAAAGGCAATCCCTCACACTAAGCTTGTAGCGACAGTGGAGAGGAAAAACTCAATTAAAACAGGAAGAAACCTCCAGCAGAACCAGACTTAGTCACTAGCATGAGTTTTCATTAACCTTTTCTAATTCTGAACTATCGCATGGTGTGGTCTGATCACTCATTTCACACACCTGCTTAGCTCCGCCCAGTTCCCATTAGCTGCTTATCTTAACCACCTGCATTACCCTCTATTTAACCACCCTTCAGACCAGTCATCATTGCCAGATTATTTAGAGCTGATTGGGCAGACATTTTACAGCGTACCTGTGTTCCAACTGCCTGATCCTGATCCTTTCTGCTTCTCAACCTCTGAGCCTGCCTGTTCCCGTCTGATCTGTTTGCCTGACCAGTCTTCTGACTCCTACTTGTTCTCTACCTGCTTGTGTACTGACCAGAACCCACCCTCATCCAGCCTGTCAGCCCTATTGTGAAAGGAACCTGTAACTGTGACCTGACTCCGAATAATCGACCAGGTCTCCAACATCGGCTTTGCCCTATAGACTATTATGCCTACATCCGTCTGCTTGGTTCTAATCTCCTACATGTCCTCTGACCTCCAATGTATCTGTGTCTGGGAGTCTCTGCACTGTGTTGCCAGCAAGATGGCCGGAACCATCTTCTAACTCTGAACTCAGACTGAACTATAAGACCAGGTTAGTGACTCACTCGTTTGTGATCGTCCACTTCCAGAAAGACGTGGTCACTAACCTGTTGTCTCCACCCGCAGAGGTTTGCCGATACGTCCAATCAATTCTGTTGTTAATAAAACGTTCAGAGAATTATAACTGTTTTGTCTGCTTTTCAGAGATTTGGTATTATAGAAACGGAAAAATAAAACAATAAAAAATCTCCCTCAAATTCAAAAAAATTGTCTTAACACTCGCATGAGGTGGTTTTTGGCTTTTACTAAAAGGGTTTGAAAATACTTTTTCAAATCAGTTCTGACATAGCAAACTTTTACCTCACATGACTGTTTTAGCTGTCGGTGTCTTCCCAGATGTTTCTGCTATGCACATAAACATGGCAGGAAGGAACATCGCCATTACTAGCTGAAATGCTAACATAAGAACTACTTGCCCGATAGCAACACATTCATTTAAAATTAACCTCATTACTTATCTGTTGTCAGTGCCAGATCGCAGCCTCTACGTCCTGTTTTATGCAGCCATGCATGATGGCGTAGAAGTGACGACGATGTATGATCCCATTACTCTTTGTGTCACTTGGTTAATTTACTTTAAATTAAATGGAGAAAAATTCACAATTCCTTTATTTTAACTTTTAAAAGTTTGCTTAAAATTCACATTTCAAGAGGGCGGAAGCATGGCTAACATGTACCAGGATCTCTGAGAACTGCTTTTGACAAAATGCTGATTTATGTCACATATACTAAAGGAAGTCCTGATCGTAATGGAAAGCTGTATTTGTTAGAGCAACGTATGCATCATGAACAATCTACCACCTTCATGGTCATGGAAAAATTAATCACACCATCCTTGTTTTTTACGGTATTTTTCAAATATTGTACCCATCAAAAATAAATCAAAGAAAACAAGGAAAGCCAAATATTGTTTTTACCAAGAGTATATAAGAAATAATGTTGATGTTTTTCCACAAATCTTTTTATTTTTCAACTTTTCAACTCAATGTAGGAAGCAAGATGTTCGGTATAAAGTGGTCTAGAGAGGGAGAAGCAAATTAGACTTTTTTAACCCACCTGAATTGAAGGTTTTCTCAGGAGTATTTTTATATAATTCTCTAATCTTTAAAAAATAATCCTAATGGTAAAGAAAAAACAAAACACTGCTAATTTTTCTTCCTGTAACATGATGTAACACCGATATCACCCAGGCTTCAACATCTGC